TTTATCTCCCAATAGGGGGGGGGGGGTGTCCCCCCTAAATCCGCCCCTGACCCTGGACTCCTCGTCGGGGAATTCTTGGCTTATGGGGAATGTCACCATTGAAAAAAATTGTTGTTAGTCGGCACGCGCGGAAATAGCCTTAATATATAAATAAATGAGTAATCGCATTGCGCCGGGATGTTTGTGATAGTGTTTATAATAGAAAGATTACAATAATGTGGCTAGTAATAAAATAATTTTTAATATCTGCCTGAAGGGAATGATCTCCATGGCTCCTGCATTCGCCAGAGTTCAACTAAAACATTTCCTGATAATAAAAAATTATTACAACATATAAAATCCTGGTGATTTTTCCAGTGGTTTCCTTATAATATCGATAAATGCGGATGTTCCCTTTTTTTGGTTTTGGCCGACCTTGCGCCCAAGTAATCCAAATGTGTAGGAGTACAACAGGATTGAGCTGTGAAACCGCCTGCATTCTTCTTACAGTGTCAGACCATACTTTATACCGTATTAACTATAATTTTTTTTCAGTTTAGGGCTTAAGTTACATATGGCCACACACGTTTTCTTGGAAACTGAATGTAAGCATTTTTATTATGGCTTTACTTATTACAAACATATTCTTTCACCATCATTACACATTGAGGCCCTTCTTTTAGGTAAAACGATCTATCTTAAATTTTCTTTCTTGAGTTTGGGACCATTATGACGTGTTTAAATAACTTAGAACTCTAACCCTAAAAGACCCTAAAAAAAATTTGTGTGTTTAATTCTGATTTCGTTAAAAACTTCCTAAAATGTGCAATTTTTAGAGGAAATTAGCCTACTTTAACAAGAAATTTGAGATTTTGCACTTTCAGGGGGTGAAAAAGACATCTTCAAAGGGTGGGGAAAGATTTTCCACAGATGGATATTTTCCCCTTGTCCCCCGGTGGTTACGCCATTGCGGAGAATATCTGGCGGCTTAGATCAAAGGAGCTATGGACACTCTTTGAAGTGGAGAAGGGGTTGCAGGGTGTTGTGAGTCTGGTCATTATGATATCGTCCATTTTATTATTGTCTTTATTTTTCTCTTCCCTTTTTCTTTTCCCTTTTCCTTTCCTTTCCTCTTTCTTTTCCCCTTATTTCTCTTTCCCTCCCTCTCCCCTCTTTCTTTTCTCTTATTACCCAGCCGGTACGACGGCTGAGACCTCCGAAAAGTAGTAGACCTACTTTTTCATATAAATCCTGACAGGGACGTAGCCAGGATTTTGAAAAGGGGGAGCCGTTATGCGAGGTACGTAGGACCCTGTGGGGGTTCCAGGGGAGAAGCCGCCTGGAAAGTAGCACGCAGCGCTCTGAAAGTTTTTAGGGCTGTTATGAGATGATAAAGTGAAAATTGCAATAAAAAACGCATTACTAATAATAGGCCTATTAGCAAGCCTAACAATAATTATATAAAACTCGGTCATAGAACTCGGATCCCGGGAATTCAAGAGAGAGGAGGTCACCACCCAGGGAGGGACTTTTACAGATTGAGGAACCACCCTTCTGAGCCCCATCATGGTTGGGCTGAAGTAAGAAAATTTTTGATTAGGGCACCTCTAGATGGCCGGAAATTACACTCTCTGACTTAAATTTGGATAGGGGCCTATATTTTTCTATTTTTTTTTCCATTAACAAATTCAGGGGGGAGGAGCCTTCAATCCACCACTGCTCAAAACATTTTTTATCCAATCATAATCACGAAAAATGGGCATGTAAAACCAGATCACATCCTAAAAACAAATTTATGCACTCGGGTATCGCCTCGATGGAGTTTATGTGGAAATATTACCTATGACCAAAAAATGACATTCATCATCATCACATCATTTTTATATACAATGCTGTAGCCAGGATTTTCAAACAGTGCGGAACAATATCATTGTGGACCCTCTTTACGCGTAAATTCAATGTGGACCCATTTTACGCAAAAATATGAACCTGTACCCATTTTCTTAAAAGTTGACAAATTTTACGCGAAAATATCATAAATCTGGACGCATTTTGTGCTGAAACAACATAATTTAGACCAATTTTTGAAAATTTTAACCCATTCTCTGTGGACCCAATAGAAAAATTGTGTGGGACTGTCCAACTGTCCCTATAAAAGCTGGCTACGGCATTGATTACTATAGGCCTACTCAAAATGAAGCGCCAACAAATTTCTCATGATCTTTTATCAGCGATTTTCGTGACCATAGAGATCTTATTAATAAATTGATGTACACTACAAAATAAAGCTTATAAACATTGTATTTGAGTAGGCCTATGTACTTTATATACAGTACTTCAAAGCCGTGATTTAAGAATTTTTAAAATCACGCTTAGGCATGTGTTATTTATGTAGGCATATGTATAACGTGTGCTGATGCATATAATATAGATAAAATCTGAAGCGTCTTGCGGTAATGATATAATTATATATAAATTCCGATCATTATAGGAGAGGAATCTACGAGTGTTAAAAAATGTTGCCAATCGCAATGGGATTCGAACGCGGCACCTTCTGCTGTATTTTGATTGTTCATTTGTCTGCTTGTCGGTTTAGTTTTCGCTGAATTATCTCGATTTTACCTGTAGCGCCACCATCCAGGTACGATGCCGAGGGTTTGTTTGTTTTGTTTTCTCGATCACTACCAATGCTGAAACTTATTGGATCCGAATTATCCCCGTACACGGGGAAGGTCCGTGCATACTTGCGGTATAAACGTATTCCTTTCGACCCCGTCCAGTCTTCATTGGAGGTATTTCTAAAGTCCTTTAATTAATACTTATTGTCTATTTCGTGAATACTTACCTGGATAACCGACTAATTGCCATTGTTCCCAAAACGGAACACCCCTTCGAAAAAAAATGGAACAGTCCGACCCAAGGCGCCACGTACGAACCGTCTCCCTAACAAACGTCCTCATTCCC